TTGCCAAAATAGCGCTTCAGAATCTTGCTCTCTTGTTTAACTGGTTTTTCAACATTATGTGATGTGATCCTCAAACCGCACATAATATGAAAGTCTTCGAGACTGAACGACACATTATGACCAAAAATCTTGAAACCAATGGAGTCTCGATCATTGGTGAATACGCGAGAAAGAATCAAACAATGAACCAACTTCATGTTGCAATGAAAATTCTCCATAGCCATAATATACCGAAATGTACCATTATTCATCTTCTCCTGTTGTGTAAGAGTCAAGAAAGTTGCAATATAACCCTTCAATATGTTGTTCCCCTTCCAGTAAGCACGACAGTTAAACCAATCTCCAAACTCATAATAGTTGTCCCCTACTTTTGTATGCAGAGCAATAGGGACTGAAGGAGATTTGCGTATTCTACGTGCTTTAGGTGCTTTAGGATCTTTAGGTGCTTTAGGATTCGTAGATGACATCTGTTCAAAAAAAAATAAAAGATAGGAAAGCTAACGTTAGAACATTATCAAAATAATCAGTTAAAACTTCAGGTCTAAGAAGGCTGAAGTTTAGCAAATATAAAACAAAAACTTTAGCTCCTAAATGCTGAAGTTCAGTAAATACAAAACAAAACTTCAGCTCCTAGAATGCTGAAAGTTCACCAATTACAAAATAAAAACTTCAGCATAAGCTCGAAGTTCAGCAAACACAAAAACAAAAACTTCAGGACTATAATGCCGAAGTTCAACAGTTACAAAACAAAAACTTCAGCAAAAACTCGAAGTTCAGCAAATACAAAACAAAACTTCAGCTCCTAGAAATACTGAAGTTACAAATACATAACACAAATTCAACTCCAAATAATGCTGAAGTTCATAAAATATTATAACAAAAATACAAAACACAAATTAAAACTTCAGCTCATAGAATTAAGTTATCATTGAAGTATTATAAACCTCACACTTTAATAGCATAATCTATTCTACTTTCAAAATTGTTAAAAATATCAAAGTATCCAAAAATCACTGAAGAATTTATAGAATTTTCATCAAAAAACACAAACACACTTTCAAAAAACCTAAAAACACAACCGTAAAAGTAAAACCTAGAAAATTAATGTACTAATCAAAGTAAAATCTAAGAAACTATTTTACCATAAATAAAAAAGGGAAACGATTCAACTAAAATGACTATAAATAAAAAAATCAGAAATTAAATCGTAAAAATAATACTAAAATAAAACTCAGAAAGTTAATGAAATGTACCCGTGATTAAACGTAATGTTATTGGGGAACAAACAGTTGAAAAATCAAGAAGAATCGAAAACCGTTTGATTTCAGAGAGAAACAAATAAAAAAATGCGAAGAACGGGCGAAGAGAGACAAAGACAGTAGAATGACGTATATTTGGAGAGAAAGTAGTCTTTTAATAAAGAAGGGCAAAATCGTCTTTTTAAAAGACTTTTAACAAAAAAACGGGTACGGATACAAATAAAAAAATAAAACGGGTATAAGTTAAAAAGGGGCTACCAAATAGGGCGCCCCATGTAAGTTTTACACGCATATTTCATTTATGTGATATTCTCTTATTAAGTAATTTTAAAAAATATTTTATATATTTAAAAATAATTTAGCTTTTGTTAACTATAACAGGAGTAACATACTTTTATAATACATTCGTACATTTCACAAAGAAGTTGGGTTTGAACCTATGCTCAACACGAATACCAACTCTTTCTTTCTTTTCCTTAGCAAGAAATACATGGAATTCATTTGTATCACATTGACTTTTCAACTTTCAAGCGATTTATAAAAATATAGTCAATGTAGATCAGTATGATTGATTTCAACTTGTTAAATACTAGTATAACATACTTATTATATTGTTAATGCAATATTGCAATATATGATTTAGTTGTGTGATCACCGCATTTTAAAAAATATTATTACATATCTTTCATTTATGTAATAATCTTTTTTTTTAGTCGGTTTAAAAAAAACAATACATTATACGTTTGAAAAGAATTTAACTTTTTTTAAAATTTTAACATCTATTGTATTTTTTTTGCTTATACATGATTTTTGCTTTATTGAGTCGAGAGTCTATCGGAAACAACTTATAGAATTACATTAACAACATGCCTTTATAATTATATATTAAAAACCATAAATTTTAAAAAATAATATATTTTGTTAAACTACTTGTCCAATCTAACAACGACAAACAAAATGAAATGGAGGGAGGTAATAACAGTTTAGTTACTTTATAATAATTGCAAATTTGCAATAAGTTAAAGATTAAAAGTCCGTTTGGATTGACTTAAAAAAAAAGTAATTTTTTCATAAAAAATAGTTTTTAAATCAAAAAAATAATAAATTGGAGTTGTCTTGTTTTCGGCTTGTTTCAAACAGTAACTTAAAAATTGAAGCTTAGAAGTCAATTCAAAGCTCTGCCTAAACTTATTCAAAGTTCCTATTAATCCGCCAACGCAAACATATTAACGTCTCTAATCAAAGTGAATTCGATAATTTCAGCCAATGAAAATCAAGTATAGAGGCCTCTGAATCCGGCACGAACTTCAAACTCAAATCTTAACCGTCCAATCATTTTAGAAAACACAACTAACACATTTAATAACCGTAGATAGTGGATTAGAAAAGCACAGGGATAATCATTCTGAACCGTCAGATACACAATTTTGGTAATACGAACACCCCACAACACGTTATATATATAAATATAATCCTTAACCCTTTCCTTGTAAACTTTTTCATTTACAACACAAAAAGAGAGAAGAAGAAGAAGAAAAGAAGGAAAAACAGAGATATCATAAGAGGTTAGTCAAAATATTCCTGTATATGTATATTTGAATTTCTCTTGTGTATATGATAAATGAAGAAATTGATCGGTTATATCTTCGTTTTTTTTTTGAAATTTTAGGGTTAGGGTTTCTGATTATCTCTTAAGTTAGAATTGTAGGTGTAGCTGCATAAAGTTAGGGTTTTTACGGGATGTTTGATTTCTATAATATTTTAGGGATTTAACTAACCTTCTACTTTGGTCCCTGCAATAGTTTTCGGAGTTTGCTCCCTTTGTGTCAGAAAGAGAATGCTTGGCTCGGAGTAAATACTTCATATTTTGTTGCAAATTTTGAATATGTTTTTCTCTGTTTTAGTTGAATTTGCTAAATATTAGGACTAGTCAGCTGCTTTTGATGCTCATGCTACATATCTGGAAAAAATAATAGAAGAAAAAGATGTTTCTCTCCAAGTAGCTATTATGATACAACCTTTTGGGTATATAGGGAGTATACTGTAAGAAGCAATCTTATGTGCAATTTGGGCGTCAGTGGTTAATCATCAAACTCAATTGCTATGGATTTTGTTCCCTTGTTTAGTGCAAAGTCGAAATGCTTCATCTTTATTTTGTGGGATTCATGGTATGTTTTTCATGTATGTGTGAAAATTTAAGTATTACTCGAGTTTGTGTCAATAAGAGAATGCTAGTTTGAGACAACACATAGTTTTGGTGCTAATTTCAACATGGATTTCTGTTGTCTGACCGTATTTGGAAAAAATCATTTTCGAAGTAAAAAAATAATGTATCTCCCTCCAAATAGCTAATGCAATGCCATTCTTTTTGGGCATGGTGAGTATATTAATATTGCACGGAGCAATCTTATGTTCTTCAAATTTGCACAGTCTTAGGGGTGAGACTGTTTTAATCATCAACTTCCAATTGTGCAAGTTGAAAGTTGAAATCTTTTATCTGGTTTCCACCACCTTGTATTTAGTGCAAAGTTGAAATCTTTCATTTGTCTTTCTTCTTAATCTTGTGAATTCTCGGTGTGTTTCTTCTATAATTGCAAAATTAAGTTAGTCTCTTGATTTAAAAAAAACAATTGTTAAAATTGTTGACTGTTGCTTTCAGATGGCTCGTACCAAGCAAACTGCTCGTAAGTCTACAGGAGGAAAGGCTCCAAGGAAGCAACTTGCTACCAAGGTCTATTTCCTTCTAGTTTATTCTTGGTCTTCACTAAAATGTTTTTTCGGTATGTATTAGTTTTTAATTTTGTATCGTATGTGTATTAGGCTGCTCGTAAGTCTGCTCCTACCACTGGTGGTGTGAAGAAGCCACATAGATACCGACCTGGTACTGTTGCTCTTCGGTAAGTACATTTTTTTAAAATTACTTCTAGTTGTCTATAGTATTTATCAATGTAAATTGCATGCTTAATTAGCATTATATGTATGCAGTGAAATCCGTAAGTACCAGAAGAGTACTGAGCTCTTGATCAGGAAGCTTCCATTCCAGAGGCTTGTTCGTGAAATTGCCCAGGACTTTAAGGTAGATTTGTGGATTAATTGTATGGTTTATTGGTTCTGAATTTGATACTGTTATGGTAAGGAGGATGTAGCCTATGTTGTTTTCTGATCGTTCTTTGTGTTCTTTACTTTTCAGACTGATCTGCGTTTCCAGAGTCATGCGGTGCTGGCTCTGCAGGAGGCTGCTGAGGCCTACTTGGTGGGTCTCTTTGAGGACACTAACCTTTGTGCCATTCACGCCAAGCGTGTGACAATTATGCCTAAGGACATTCAGCTTGCCAGGCGAATCAGGGGCGAGCGTGCTTAATTTGATCAACTCTAGCTAGTAGCTTTGTTGGTCCTTGTCTGGCTTTTCTTTGTTAGACTTAAAGGCAGTAACTAAATCTAGTAGTAGGGCTTGTTGCTTTGAATTTGTTGGTGGCTGGTGGTGTGCTGTAATTTGTTGGTATTTTTGTTGGAAAAGGGGAAAACATGATGGTATTTTGTTTGGATCTCTAATGTTTTGTTGTCACACCGCTGGTGTCGAACAATGTTCAGTGTTTTCATCTAATGGTTAGTTCACGTTACTGTGGATAGTATATCTTAGTAAACTTAGGATGCATTTGTCCCAGTTAAATGGGATGGCTTGGATTTGGGTATTGTGGAAGTGTGGGGACTAGTTTTTTTGATGCATCTGTTGTACTAGTCACTCGCTCACTATTTTTGAGATATTTGCATCTGATTCTACATGTAAGTGAATTGAATTTGTACTCTGGTTAGAAAGGGTCAGATTACAAAAAATGTATATGTATCCTTCGTTTAGGATCTGGTTAACGCACAGAATTTCTACTTCTCTCGCTACCTCTATTACATATAGGTATAGCTTTTGACCGTAGCATATCCTGATACTGATACATGTGAATTCATTTGAGAAAATACTTTTATACTTGTGATGTAAAATTTTTATACTTGTGATGTAAAATGAGTATATATATTTTGTATGACTATAAATCATTGTATAAAGTTAAATTGTTTTCAAATAAGTAAAGGTTATTTTAAATTGAAACGGAGGGAGTATAATTTTAATATATTACTATTGTCAGGATTAAAACCTGCCGTGTTTCAGAAAAAGAGCGTGCAACATTTGTTTCTTGAAAGCTAAAGGCTTTATGTTAATCAGTAGTTATTGGGGATTATAGTAGAAGTTGTTTAATCTTAGTGTTGATATTAGTCCAAGCAGTGAAGAATTTATTAAATGAAAGAATGTCTGCCGGCTCTTGGATGGCGTAACTCTTTCAAATTCTTAGCATTCCCCGGACTGTTTCCATGGGGCAATTACATCACATTAATTCACCATCATAAATTAACAGGAGGTATAGAATTACACCTATGGGCTCTCTTTTTTACTTTTTATACTCCATGTTTTAGCATTTAGAAACAAGGATGATTCATAGAAAAGGGACATATTGCTCATCTTATGTCTCCTCCCTTGTCTATTTGGAATGTTTCAACCCCGCACCCACAAACCACATCCTGTTTCTCTCACACACAACAGTAAAATTCTGTTAGTGTGCAAAAGAAAGAATCCTTCTAGACCAACACACATTTTGGGCGTGCAACTGCTTTTTCTCTGACTCATTTTTAGTGGCTGTCGATATTTTCCCAAGTGTTGTGTGCGTACTATCGCTTATCTTTGAAGTACAGAGGTTTTCTCGGATATATTTGTTTCCTTTCACGTTTTATCCTTAAAAGTTACATGGATTTGTCTGGTCTCTTGTTTCTTGAGTATTCAGTTTGCATGAGAATAAAGATTGATTCTTTAGCAGCTTTGAAGGATTTGTAGATATGGTTACAATGATTTGGAAAACAATCAAATTTCTAGAATCATTTCTGCTTCCAAGCTTTGCAGAGGGGACCCTTTGGGTCAAAAATTGATTCAAGCACCTTTTTTTTTTCTTGTCTTGAAATAAATCCTTCCAAGGTTGACCGTTTATCCAAGGTATAAATTTTTCTCTCATCCTTCATATTCTTTATATTCAATTTTTATCTAGGGAATTATACAATTTGATTCTTAATTCTTCTCTTCAGGATAGTGATTTTTTGGTGTAATTTGGATTATGGTCGTAGTCGTAACTTTTTATCATTTGTGATTGTTTTAAAATATTAAAATAACTAAGCCTCAATCCTAAACACGCTAGTGTCAGCTATATGAATCCTTTTTGTCCATATCACTCCATTTATGTCCGTCCGTCTCAATCTGAAACTCCTATTATTTAAAAAAATTGATTTGTCTAGCATTAGGAGTTGTTTACATTTTTTTACTCGCATAGAAAACTGACAAGACTAAAAAGGACTCTAAATAATTAGTCCTTAAGTAAACGTACTAACACGAATAAAGTTTAATCCCAACTAATTTAATATGTTGTTTTTGCTTGTAGAATATTGAATTAATATAATTTTAATCATGCAAGAGCAAATGAGAAAACATCAGGAGGAGCTAAAGACATTGAAGAAATTGTATATTGATACTGCTCAAGAAGCATTGAAGGTTAGACAAAACAATATCAAGTCTTTGGAGTTGGAGCTAGAGAGAGCAGAACAGTCTCATCTTAAGTTAGCAGAGAAAGATGATAGCTTAAGGAAATTGAAAGAGGAATTGAGTAATGCAAAAGAGAATAAGGCTCAGGCAATGGATGTATTATCCCATTTTAAGAAAAGGGTTTATGAACTAGAAGCTGAAGTAGCAAATAGAAGATTATCAGAGTCTAAAGTATTCGATTCATTGGCATCACAGACAAGAGAGTTTGAGCAAACTACGATTGAACTTGAAAAATCTAAGGTTGAGATATCTTCCCTTCATGAGAAGATTGAATCACTAGAGGCTTCGTCCGAGCAAAATATCAGGCACGTGAATTGTTCTTGCGATGGGAAGATTGCTAATTCGTTGGCGAAGGAAGTGGGATGCCTAAGGTTTGAACTTGGATTGGCGAAGGCGAATTTGGATAAGATTCAAGAAAGAGAGAAGTTCGCTTCTTTAAAAGCCAAGGCTTTGAGTGATGAGATGATCTTGGTTAGAAAAGAACTTAAATTGGCAACTGATGCAGAAGAAAAGAGCCAAAAGGCGTTGGATGATTTAGCGTTAGCGTTGAAGGAAGTTGCAAGCGAAGCTACTGTAGCCAAACAGAAACTTAGTGCTTCTCAGTTAGAATTAGAACAAGTAAAAGAAGAGGCATTACAATTGAAACAGATGGTCAGAAATATTGAACAAGAAAAAGCTGTTGCTCAGCAGGAGACTGCTAAACTCGCCGAGTCTCTTAAAAATGCTGAGCATATGACTAGAAGAGCAAAGAAAGAAATTTACAAATTGAGGGACATATTGAAGCAGGTTATAAAAGAAGCGAACGCTGCAAAAGGTGCTGCTGATCTAGCTAGAGATGAAAATTCTCAACTCAAAGATTCCCTAGCTGAAAAGGAGGAATCACTTTGTTTTCTTACGCGAGAGAATGAACGCCTTAGGATTAATGAAGTTGTAGCTCATGAAAATGTCAAGGAGTTAAAACGGCTGCTTTCTTCGTCATCACTGAAAATTGAAGACAAGGATCAAGAAGAGGAGAAACATTATGATCTCAAACTTAGTGAGGTGAAGCTTCAACAAGAACAGGAAAATTTAGAAGCAAAAATTCAAGATGAGGATCCTGAAAAGGCTGAGGCACTTAAGGGCTCAATATTTGATACAACAAAACAGGTATCTCATCATCGGAGAGCGTCTTCATCTGCCTCTTCAGATGATTTTGGAACACCAAGAACAGAAGATTTTGATCATCCAGATTATAATCATCTCGATAATTCGGATAGTGGTAGAAGTCCTAGCAATAGTCGGAGGAAAAAAGCGTTGTTTCGAAGAGTTGGTGACCTCATAAGGAGGAAGAGTTTCCATAAGAGGGAACCATCCAGTTAGTAGGCCCTTGTTCTGTATATACAACCTGAAATTATACAGTTATTTTAAGTGTTTGAAGTTTTCATGTTGCATACAAAATGCTCCATTTATCAGAAGGGCAGCACGGTGCAGTAAACTCCCGCTATGCGCGGGGTCCGGGGAAGGTCAAGATCACAAGGTTATATTATAAGCAGCCTTATCCTGCATTTTTGCAAGAGGCTGTTTCCACGGCTCGAATCCATGACCTCCTGATCACATGGAAGCAACTTTACCAGTCACGCGAAGGCTTACCTTCAAAATGCTCCATTTATCAGAAGCAAAGTAATTGCAGCCTGCCAATTTTTTATATCATCAAGTTGTTATTTTAGTCTTCAATATTAGCTTCATTAGATCGAAGTATGAATGTCGTTCGATGTTATAACACCATGTACATACATGATTATAATCTCATTTTTAGATAGTAATTTATAAACACTTCTGCATATTCTGGTCACTGAAAGAAATAACTCATGGTGTCTGTATCTTGATTCCTCCCAATACTGTGATGACTTAGGACATTAAAGAAATAACTTAATATCTAGCAAGGAACCATAGTCGTCCAATGTACTCTTGAGATGTTGAATTGGAGTTTGTAATAAGGTGAAGAATAATAAGATTTGTGCCATAGAAATTGCAGACTCAGGCATAAAGCTGAAATGGGGTTATTACCCGGTTTGACCAATATATCATAAAGCTGAAATGGTTTTTTTTCTTTTTATATGGTGGTGTTCGGACCAACTTACGCGCACTTCAACTAATCCATAGGCATACCAAGGCTTAAACTGATAGGAAGAAATCAGCTAGCGCATTTTCTCACCTCTAACGAAATTTGAACTATGATCTTCCCCGTCATTCCCACTTTATTAACTGCCAGGCTATGCCATCTAGTACCTTAAGGTTGAAGAAGTGGTCTTTAATCATGGTAGGCATTTGATTAACTCAAATATTTAGTTACAAAGTTGCACCTACCACTATTTAGCACTTCCAAAGGAACATGAAATCCTTGCTTTTTTCCATTACACATGTTCAGCCATATCAGAGGCGTTTGACAACACACACTTAAGTTATTCCAAAGGCTGTGGGAGACGTGTTTAATAGGCACAATTTTGCTTGGGTTGAGGTTTTCAATAGCCAATAGGTCGTAGCTTTAGTTCAGGTCTAAATGAAAATTTTGACAAGTTTGAGGGGCCGTCGATATACTCAGCCTTCTAAATACGCTAAAAGTTTACGAGAAAAATTGCACATGCTTAAGAAGACATCTGCTATATATTTATTAGATTGATGTAAATACCTAGTGCAAGTAAGTTTTTACTGATTAATACACTTGTATCGGATACGTACTTATAGTCGAGTCATGTAATGACAGTCATTCTATGTCCTCTTAAAGCATCAAACAACAACAACAACGACGACCCTGTAAAATCCTACAAAGTGGGGTATAAGGAGGGTAGTGTGTACGCACACCTTACCCGTACCCCGATGGGATAGAGAAACTGATTCCGATAGACCCTCGGTTCAGGAATATCTTAAATCATCAAACTAACATATAAAATCAATCAAGATCCAACAATTCAATAATTAATCCCCAATGCTTAAATTTTGGCTTTTGATCACTCAATCCTTAATAATTCAGATTTTAGTGCTGAGTTGGCAAAGTTTGCTCACCTCCGAACTTGCTCAGAGTTAGAGGCAACAATAGGAATTTAATAAAAGTCTCGTAGAGCTAACACGTTAATAGGTGAGGAGAGATTTTTGACTCGTACTTTGTACGCCTTAGTTAATACACCATTTAATATTCAAAAATCGAAGTCAAAGTAAAGACATAATAACAAAATCAAAACCGGAATTAACGTTTGATTTCGTTCAAAATCAAAAGACACCCACACCTTTTGGGAGCAGCTAACTTTTTCTGACATCTGTCATTTAAAATTAAACCTAAATTGTTTATGATTTAGTATTTGTTAGTTTCTTTTATTTATATATAAATAGAATTTGTAGTCAAAATAATATTGGGATAAATTTTCTAGTTTTAGTAAAAGTAGGTTTTACACTATTATAAATAAGAGAGTGCTAGTACCTGTCTTGTACTCTTGTCTCGAGTATTGAGTTTGTATGAGAATAAGACGCCCTTCTTTTTCTTGAAAGAAATCCATCCAAGGTTGACCATTTATCCAAGGTATTACTTCTTTTCTTTCATCCTTCATATTTTTTATTCAATTTTTTTCAGGGAAATTATACAATTTGATTCTTGATTTGTCTTTGGGGGAGTATTTTTTTTTTTTTGGGGTGTAATATGCATAATGGTTTTCGTTCAAAACTTTTTGTATCTTTTCATCATTCGTGATTGATTTTAGACAAAAAGAAATCACATACGCCTCACACATTATGAATCATGTCCATGTGACTCTATTTAAGCGCATCTCACTCAAACATTATAAAAATACTAATTTTGGGGGGAGTATTTTTTTTTTTTTTGGGTGTAATATGCATAATGGAATTCGTTCAAAACTTTTTGTATCTTTTCATCATTCGTGATTGATTTTAGACAAAAAAAAAAAATCAGATACGCCTCACACATTATGAATCATGTTCATGTGACTCTATTTAAGCGCATCTCACTCAAACATTATAAAAATACTAATTTTTGGGGGTTTTTTTTTTTGGGGGTGTAATATGCATAATGGTTTTCGTTCAAAACTTTTTGTATCTTTTCATCATTCGTGATTGATTTTAGACCAAAAAAAAATCAGATACGCCTCACACATTATGAATCATGTCCATGTGACTCTATTTAAGCGCATCTCACTCAAACATTATAAAAATACTAATTTTTGGGGGTTTTTTTTTTTGGGGGTGTAATATGCATAATGGTTTTCGTTCAAAACTTTTTGTATCTTTTCATCATTCGTGATTGATTTTAGACCAAAAAAAAATCAGATACGCCTCACACATTATGAATCATGTCCATGTGACTCTATTTAAGCGCATCTCACTCAAACATTATAAAAATACTAATTTTTGGGGGAGTATTTTTTTTTTGGGTGTAATATGCATAATGGAATTCGTTCAAAACTTTTTGTATCTTTTCATCATTCGTGATTGATTTTAGACAACAAAAAAAATCAGATACGCCTCACACATTATGAATCATGTCCATGTGACTCTATTTAAGCGCATCTCACTCAAACATTATAAAAATACTAATTTTTTTAGCAGTAGAAGTTTTTTAGATTTTCTATTGGCACATAAATCTCTTGTTCAAAATTCAGCATTTATTTACAAATTGCATAATCATTATGTTGGGTGGGCATAATCATAAGTAATTATACAAAATAACTACTTATAAAGAGTTGGATACTTTTAATGCTGTGAGGTCTTTTGGGAAAATCGTGTGAGTTTAGTCCAAATCGAACAATATCAAATCATGTTAAGAGTATCTTTGTGTCGTTTTAGCCCACAACTGGTATCAGACCTAATGGTTTGGCGAGGCGAGTATGAAGATGGTGGAGTGATGGCGTAGGGTCCGGCTTAGTGCCTTTGCTGGTCTATGGGCCAGTTTTCTATCATTACGCATAACTTTAAAGACGCATCCTCTCCTCTGAGCTTCGGTGACCATAAATACTCGGGATCATGTGGGTGACACACAGTTAATCTCCAAATTATGTGGAACTTAGTTTGAGGGGGAGATTATTGATGTGTAAACTTGGCCCAAAAACGGACAATATCATACCATGTTCAAAGTATCTTTAGACCATTTAGCCCAACACATTCATGACATTTTTCTACAATTTAATTATGAGTTGGTATCACTCCTTGCAAAAAACTTAATCCCGACTAATTGGTATATTGTTTTCGCTTGCAGACTATCCTATTAATAGACTTTTAATCATGCAAGAACAAATGGGAAAACTTGAGGAGGAGCTTTGGCAGATGAAAGAGGTAGCTAATGAGGCCAGTGTGAAGGCAACTGGGGAACTATTAAAAGAGCTAAGAACTTCGAGGGAATTGCAATCTAATACTCAAGAAGAATTGAAGATTAAATATAAGAATATTTTGTCTCTGAGGTTGGAGATTGAGAGAGCAAAAGAGTTTCAGCTTTGGTTAGCAGAAAAAGAAGCTAGTTTAGGAAAATTGAAAGATGAATTGAATAATGCAAAAGGGAATGAGGCTCAGGTGATGGATTTATTATCCAATTTCAAGAAAAGGGTTCATGAACTACAAGTTGAAGTAGAGAATAGAAGATTATCCGAGTCTAAAATAGTAGATTCATTGGCATTGAAGACAAAGGAGTTCGAGCAAATTAGCAGACATTGTGATGGTTCTTGCCATAGGAAGATTTCTTGGGAGAAGGAACTGGAACGCCTTAGGTCTGAACTTGGATCAACCAAGGCAAATTTGGCTTTGAGTGATGAGATGCTCTTGCTTAGAAAACAACTTAAATTGGCAACTGATGCAGAAGAAAAGAGCCAAACCGAAGCTACTGTGGCCAAGGAGAAACTTAGTGCTTCTCAATTAGAACTAGAACAAGTAAAAGATGAGGCAAGACGATTGAAACAGATGGTCAGAAACACTGAAGCTAGGTACCAAAAGCTTTTGGATGAGGCAAAACAGGAAACTCTTGCTCAGCAGGAGACTGCAAGATTCGCCGAGTCTCTTAAAGATGCTGAGCATATGACTAGAGCAGCAAGGGAAGAAATTTACAAATTGAGGGACATATTGAAGCAGGTTGTAAATGAAGCGAACGTTGCAAAAGCTGCTGCTGATCTAGCTAGAGATGAAAATTCTCAACTCAAAGATTCCCTAGCTGAAAAGGAGGAAAAACTTCATTTTCTTGCTCGAGAGATTGGACAAGTAGACAAGGAAATTTTCAGCGTCAAACCTATTGAGTTGCTTCAACAAGAACAGGAAGATTTAGAAGCAAAAATTCAAGATGATGATCCTGAAAAGGCTGAGGCGCCAAAATCAGAGCCCCATACACCAAAACAGGTATCTCATCATCGGAGAGCATCCTCATCTACCTTCTCAGACGATTTTGGAACACCTAGAGCAGAATTCTCCGATCATTCAGATACTGATTGAAGTCCTAGTAGGAAGAGAAAAGTATTATTTCGAAGAGTTGATGACCTCAAAATTAGGCCTTTCTTTTTCAGATACAACTTGGAATGGTATAGTTAATTTCAGTTTTGAAGTTTTAATACTATGCACAAAATGCTTCTTTTATTACATGACAAGAAATTGCACCCTGACAAGTGTTTTATTTATTCAGTTGTTCTTTTATTATTCAATATTAGCTTCATTAGATCTAAGCATGAATGTCCATTCAAGTGAATGAAAATAATTTCACTTAAATAGTTATTTCAAATCCTTTTGAGTATTCTGTTTGCTGAAAGAAATAAATCATGGCGGCGCATGCATCTTTGTTGCTTCCAAGATTAGGGTGCTCCGCTATACAATATTGTATGACTTAGGACATTAAAATATTTGTGTCAAAGACATTGTAGTCATCCAATGCATTCTGAGATATTGAAATGGAGTTGGAAATAAGGTGAAGAAGAATAAGATTTGTGACATAGACATTCCAGGCTCACACTCCTAGTGCATTGTTTGTAGTGATTTATTACCTCGTTTGACCTATATTGAAAGTGGCCTTCAATCATGGTTGGCTTTTGATTAGCTCAAATATTTCTTTACCAAGAATTAGATGCATTAACAGCTTGCACCCGAATGTTGTCTGTTTTTACTCAACAAACAAACAAGGACCTTAGCCTGGATACCATAAGAACTATAGAGATAGATATAGGATGAATAAGGTTAGTGGCCCACTTGTTGTCATGACGCTGGAGCCAGTGTAATTTAATGCTTCATCTGTTTTATTTTATGTGACACTCTTTCATTTTTAGTCGGTATCAAAAAAATGACACCTTTCTAAATTTAGTAACAATTCAACTTTAAATCTCCCTTTTTACTCATAATGAGATGATTTCTAACCACACAAATTTCTATGAATTGTTTTAGACCACAAGTTTAAAAAAAAATTCTTTATTTCTTAAACTTTGTGTCCCCAGTCAAACATCTCACATAAATTGGGACGAATGGAGTAGAACATATCCATGAGCTTGAGTCATGAAGAGAGTGGAAAGGAAAAACTGTATAGTTACTGGGCAAAAGGGTTTGTGGGATGGGCTTTACCATATCCAACTTACATCACAAACTAAAGCCAAAACACTATGTAAACATTGTGAACAAGACAATGAAATTGGTAAATTTAAATGGAGAACAGATGCTCAATTGGTCATTCCAATCAGGAAAAAGAAGCATCCAAATACAGGAGAGTTGCAGAGATAAACAATGATCTTTTAACTCATGACCCAAAGCAAACAAGTTGAAATCCTATATCAGAACTGAACACAAGTGAAAGCGTCCTACTTCCCCATATTCCTCTCCATACAAACAAAACGCCAGAGATGCGCAGCACTGGACCTTTCTTTAAAGAATGACAGCTTACAATTTTTAGGTCTCACAAATCATAGGGGAATTAGAACTGCAAAGATCTTAATTAAACCAATGAGCAAGGTTTAACCTGGCATTCAAATCCTGAATAAAAGATTTTCACCACTTTTAGTGCTCCTCATTATCCGGTTTTGCTACTTCTTTCATCTCTTCAGTTCCCTCGTCCTGCAAAAAGCCCATACATGACTAAGCAAAATAATCACACAAGTAATTAAGGAACAATCTCATTAACAAGAGAACAGAAAGAACTACCTGCATGTCGGAGGTCCACAAAGTCAGATTATCGCGAAGAAGCTGCATTATCAACGTACTATCCTTGTAGGACTCCTCCCCCAACGTGTCAAGCTCAGCGATCGCCTCATCAAAGGCCTTTTTAACATAAAGACAACCATAAGTAAGATGCCTAAATTCCTACCAAAAATTCAAATTCAAATAACAAATCATGACTTTTTTGCTTACCTGTTTGGCGAGATTACAAGCACGATCAGGAGAATTCAATATCTCATAGTAAAATACAGAGAAATTGAGAGCTAGCCCCAATCGAATGGGATGTGTAGGTGCCAGTTCCGCATTTGCAATTTCCTAAAAAGGACAAGATGAATATTTCAATTTCATACTTCAATACAATGTAAAACCAAAATTTTCTTTAGCATTTGCGTAATTCTCCATCATTTAATAAATCAGGACAAAGAACTGGTCCAATTGCTAATGAAATCAAAAATCGGATATTTTTCTCAAACATTTGCATATTTTTCCCGTATTTCTAATTAGTCAGGACGAAAATTTGATGCAATTAATGACGAAATTAAAACCGGATATTATTTTCCAGCATTTGCATAAATTTTCATTAATTTTTAACAAAACAGGAGAATTTGTTGCAATTGATAATTAAAAAAATCAAAAGCAAACCTGAGCGGACTTGTAAGCCGAAAGAGTATTCTCAGCAGCTTCTTTTCTCTCAGCTCCGGTCTTAAACTCGGCCAAATACCGATGATAATCTCCTTTCATTTTCAAATAAAACACCTTAGAATCTCCGGTAGAAGCAGCGCCGATGAGATTCGAATCGAGCAGCTTGAGTATACCGTTACAGATCGATGTCAACTCCGACTCGATCTTAGATCTGTAAGTTTTAATAGAGGTCACGTGATCTTCGTTGCCTCGGCTCTCTTCTTTTTGCTCAATAGAGGAAATGATCCGCCACGAGGCTCGTCGTGCTCCGATCACGTTTTTGTAAGCTACGGAGAGAAGGTTACGTTCTTCGATGGTTAGTTCCTCGCCGCCGTCCGCGGTGGTTACGACCTTCTCCATGAACTCTACCATCTCCCCGTACCGCTCGGCTTGCTCCGCAAGCTTCGCCATGTACACGAACTCATCGCGCGACGACGACATCGATGTTTGAAGGGAGAGGGAGAGGGAGAGAGAGAGCTGAGAATATGAAATGAAAGAGTGGTTTTGGGATTCTTCTCATTTCAAGTTTGATTTTTGTGCGCGCTAATTGAGGCTTTCAGATTTGTGGGCCAGGGCCATGGAAACTCTAGCCTCTAGGTTTGGCCCATGATTGTTGACTGGGACGAGAAAAAATTCTCCTAGTGCACCTCGGATTGGTAGGCTTCACACAAACAAAATATTAGGTGTACGAATAAAGTTGTAACTGAAAAGATTGGTAATTTATATATAATGAGATTTTTTAGAAAAAGTTAGTACGTGTTTAGTTCAAAACGGACAATATCACATCATAATAAAAGTATCATTGAATTGTTTTAGTCCAATAACTTGTGTTAGAGCTCAATTTCGGCGGGATAAGTATGGTGATGGCTGAGTGATGGTGCGAGACTCGGTTTGCTTACTCTTACGAACTTGGCGACGCACATACAAGAAAAAGCTAGTTGCGGGCGTCGGTTGTCATAAATACTCTGACGATATGGGTGACACACAGTAAAATTCGGAGATTGAACTGCAGCTCGTGGTAATCGGCCACATGGATAATATTACACCATATTAAGAGTATCATTGGGCCGTTTTATCCCAACGCAGAATTAAGAAGAATTAACCTGAATAGCACCTCACCAACGCGCTCTCTCGCTCTTTATCTGTATTATTATAAAAGCACGAATAATTTATGCTAAATGTTGAACGACTAAAATATCCCTAAAATATTGATCGACTTTTATGCCCTTAAATATTTGTATAATTTAAGGATCTAATGGTAAATTACCTAATGATGAAATTCTTTTTCGATTTAAACTATACATATGTCTGACCCTACAATGTTGATCCTACTTGAATTAGAAAAGTACGTCCATAATTTTCTTTCAAATAATTGTTGTTCCTAATTACAATTCTTTTATAACAAGGAATATACTAGAAAAAAAAGGCATGTACTAAAGAAGATTTAGTACTACGTTCTAAGCAATAATATTTTAAACAAAGTTAGAAAATTCTTACTATCCTTTAAAGTCTTAATTTGTATTTAGTTCATGTAAAGCTAAAACTAAGTTAAGTTAGTATCTTTTACCTAAATATTAGGAGTTACTACACATTTCAAATAAATTGAGTTAATTTTTAAAATATTAAATAATAAGAAAACAATTAAATAGTAATTTTTTAAAATATAAAATCTAATTTTAAAGGATTAAAAAATAGGGGCAAGTTTATATGAATATGTTTCTTTTACATGATAATAAAATAGTTCTAATAAAAAAGATGAGATTGTGCTCTTTAATTTATTTGTTTTTACTTCAATATGAGTAATTGATTGCTTTACAAATTTCTCAAAGAAAATCGATTGATGTTAGATTAGGTTTCCTAGAACAAGTTCGTCAAAGTCTCGTATATATCGAAGTTTAACAAAAAAAATTTATTTTGATTGATTTATTTTCATTAGATGCTCAATTGTCTCCAATTCAAGATTTACATCAATTTATATTCAAATAAAAAGTAAAATCCTTTAGAATAATATTATTAATGAATTATGCGTTATGATTGGTTCAAACAATCTAAGTAAGTGGAACACAATGATTGGACCGACTCTGTAATAGAAGCAAAAATACATTACGATGTTCATAAATAATGTGAAAATCAACTTGAACTTTCCAAGGTATTAGCTAGCTAAAAAATATATACTATATATATAATACACATATATACAAAAAAATATTTATCTGCAATTATTTTTGGAAGCGGTTAAATATATATAAAATCTTAATTAATCATGGACTTGATTTATCAAAACACGTGTATAATTAATATTTTATTGCTTTGAATATGATAAAGTAGTGTAATTTTACTCGGGTTATATCCGACATAATTTTAATTTGATATAACTTTATAAATAATTGAGACAACCCTCACAAATATGTCAAAGTACAATAGTGAAAAAGTAATAATTTTTGGAGTAATTCAAAGATGGACAACTATATGTTTTACTTTTGAGATGGAGAAGCCAAAGTTATAGAAGAAATATGACACCAAAAAACGACCTCTATAAAGAAGTCCCAGATATGATACTACCACACTGAATATTTATACACTATAAATAGGATATTACTTAACTTAATTAAATTGATCATCTTTGTAGGTTAAGACGATATCAACATTAATGTTTAACATTTAAATGGTTGTTGTGATTTTATCACGTTAATTACTTTACAAT